GGCGGGCATCAAGGGAGCAAGCTAGTGAAACGTTGCACGCACAAAAGAGAAGGTCTGCACACATCCAAAAACGTATTTTAAATGCAAAATTGATTTTAGTGTGCTCAAAATACTTTTTTCTTTGCGAAACAAACATTTTCTCCACAAAACTCAGATTGCGCGCTTGCAAAATGCACATTTGTGCGCTCAAAATATGAGCTTTCGCACGCAGAATTGTGGCAGAGATCTAACCCTATAGACTTCAAACCGAACTACACAGCGCGGAGTAAATGCATCATCTGCGTCAGAATGTTATGATTGGCCCAGAGTTTTTTTTTTTTTTTTGTGAACTATCCCTTTAATAATTTACTTGGATGGCTTTTTATAATGATATGAAAAATTTCATTAAGAGCTCACTTTGCATTTTAGACAATGGATGAGAGTTGTGTAAATATAAAGCGTCTTGAAGAAGACGAAGAACAGTGCATAAATGAAGATAAGACAGACCGAGATAAGGCGGAAGAAAAGCTAATCAGCTCTAATGAGCATTCAAGGAAACCATGGCAACAATTGCGGTCACGAATCAGAGGTGAGGTGGATCATTTCCCCCGTCATCGAAGATCTCACTCTTATCAATCCTCAATGCAGTAAAGTCAAAAATATAATAATCACTAACTGTAATTTATGTTCTTTACATTTGGACAGAGTGTGTACTGTATGTGAAGAAGGTTCTGGTGTCTTTTGCTAGCATGGAGTGGTACTGTTATGCCCTGTTAGGCATCATCACCGCGCTAATGAGCTTCTTCATGGATATGACTGTAGCCAAGCTGCTGAATGGTGAGCGGTTCCACCATGTCACTCAAAAAATGTTTAGTGCAAAATTTACATACAGATGCAGGTGGGTCGGTTAACTGTTTGAACAATGAAGCATTCTAGCAGCTGAGTAGGGCAAGGTCTTTCAAAAAGATGCTCTTGCATTTATCATGCATTGTTAAACCTCAGCCCACGTCCTTCTCTCTTGTTAGCTCACCAATGGCTGTATGGATGTCTGAAGGGTCACCACCTGCTGCAGTTCCTCTGCTGGACGCTTTATCCCGCCTGCCTGTGTGCTCTGTCCACCAGCTTCACCCACAGCATCTGCCCATTCTCTGCAGGTCAGCTGCACTCATCTGAACACAGTAAAAAAATGAGGTATTTTTCTGATTTAATTTAAGTATATTCACTGAATTTAAAAGTTAAATTGCAGTTAGGCCTACCTAAACTTTGCCATCACTGCATAAATGGTTTATATTTAGACAATTTATTTTTAATTGTTTAATCTATAATTAAAATATTATGTGCCTTAAACAATCAACAAACTCTTTAAAAAAAATCAGTTTAGGCCTATTTGAAATAAAAAATGCATTAAAGGGATAGTTCACCCAAAAATGAAAATTCTGTCATTAATTACTCACCCTCATGTCGTTCCAAACCCGTAAAATCTTCGTTCATCTTTGGAACACAAATTAAGATATTTTTGATGAAATCGGAGAGCTCTCTGACCCTCCATAGACAGCAACTCAACTGTAATGTTCCCAGGTCCAGAACGTAGTAAGGACATCGGTAAAACTTTCCATGTGGCATCAGTGGCTCAACTTAAATTTTGCGAAGCTACGAGAATACTATTTGTGCGCAAAGAAAACAAAAATAACATAATTTTTTCAACAATTCTTCTCCACCGAGTTACGTCTTCCACCATTTTGGAGAGTATCCAAGAACGTATTTGACGTAATCAGCATTGCTTACGTTCGGGGGGGAAACGAAGGTCTTACGGGTTTGTAACGGCATGAGGGTGAGTAATTAATGACAGAATTTTCATTTTGGGGTGAACTAACCCTTTAACTCTCTTTTTGACTTAAAATCTGAGAACATTGTAACAATAGCTGGAATGAGATGCATTTTTGGTATTCCTGAAAGTTATGAATAGTTTTAGGAATAGTATTAGTATCCAAAAACAAAAAATATATAAATATATAAAATATACCTATTATGTAGTAACACACACACACATATATATACTGGACTAACCTAATTTCTACATGTGAATATGTGATTTCTACCACAGTGTTTTAGACAAGTTCTTTTTTAACCAAACAGTAAGCGATTATTTTCAAATATACAAATATATAATTGAAATATAATCCAAATGGCTCAAAAAAAAAAACAGTTCTAAATGGGCATGATGCCTCTGCTGCCAAAGCTTTATTAACAGCAACAAAGACGGTTGCTTTGGGATTATGTTGATGTTATTAAACACAGACACGTTTAATCACAAATATCGAGTATTTCTTGTGAAGGGCTGTCTGGTGCATTTGGAGATAATTGACTCTTTACCCCTCAGGCTCTGGTGTTCCCGAGGCGAGGGCTATTCTCTTAGGGATGGACATGCCAGATTACCTGTCCCTCTCCAATCTGTTCGCTAAACTGTTTGGCCTGATATGCACACTAGCTTCAGGCAGCACAGTGTTTCTCGGCAAAGTGGTAAGAACCTTAGAATATTATATGCAAATGAGGATGTGGAGCTTATGGATAAATGGACGTTCTGAATATATTGACCTTTTGCAATACAATTTATCATCTCAATAGGGTCCATTTGTCCATTTATCTATCATGGTGGGTGCGTTTATGAGTCGCCTGCATGTTTCCTGCCGTGGCGGAAAGCAGGTAGCTGAGCAGCACTGCAATACATGAACCATGCAGCCCACTTTCATTTTGCTTTATGAGAACCAGATGGAAATTGTATAGAAGGCTACTTATGCTAATGACTCTTGTGGCTCAGTTTATTCATTCGTATTTCAGAGAGCAGCTAAAGGAGAAATGCTGGTTGTGGCATCAGCGGTGGGCGTCGCGAGCTGTTTTGGGGCTCCAGTCAGCGGTGAGTTGACGTCACTATAGTCTGTGATATCCTTTAGTACTAAAAAACAAAACAAAATCATTATTGTATCTCATCAGTCTGTCAGTTGACCTTTCCCTGTAGATTTATCTCTGTTTCATTGTCATAGGTGTTCTGTTCAGTATAGAATTGATGGGGACTCACTATTCAGTCAAAGATTATTGTCCCTGCTTCTTTGCAGCGGCTTGCGGCGCAATCACCTTCAGACTGCTTTCTGTCTGTAGTAGAGATCAAGGTAAGAGGTTTACACTACCTACAGCGCCCCCTAATGGATGCTACTGTTGTCTTCATAGTAATCTCATCGACCACAGTGCTCCACGGCCATCAGATAGTCTTATGGGATGCTATGAATTTGATTTAGATATGACTGAACTGAAAGTATCACACCACATTTATGTAATCTGGTTTAATTTAAGAGCCAGAAAAGGATATATGAAAGATCTGATTCAACATGTCTTTGATCTATGTCCACAGAAACCATTCAGGCCCTGTTTAAAACCAGCTTTTCTTCTGATCTGCCTTACCAGCCTTTTGAAATATTTATTTTCGCTCTGCTTGGGTAAGTTCTCATATTGGTGATGGATAGTCATAAGTTAAATACTGCTTACTCATCTGTTACCTCAGGGTTTGGATTATATTGTTATTATTCATAATTCATGAATTATTCATTATATTTTTTCTCTGATTCAGGCTGTTCTGCAGTATTCTCAGCTGTATTTATTTATTCTGTCATCGCTGGGCTCTGCGATTCATCAAAACAAACAAACCCATCAGCAGATTTTTGGCAACAGAGTGAGAAAGATTTATTCCCACAGACATATTGTACAGTTTGATAGAATTTCCTTTTCTCTTTCTTTCTTTCTTTCTTTCTTTCTTTCTTTCTTTCTTTCTTTGTCTCTGTCTAAACGTGTGACACCACTAGTGAAATGCTTCTATTTTGCAAATTTTTCTCTAGTTTAATAAAATTCCATTCAGAATAACAATGTGAATGAAAAGTTTAGCTTTAAATATTTACGTCTCTTCATTCATAAAATATTTTATTTCCAGGTTTAAATTAGATTTTTAATCCTATGGTCTCAGATTTATGGACGCCACTGTATGGTGACAGCAGATGTGTGTCTTTTGATTGGATGCCTGGAGATATTTGTTGTGCTCTAACCCAGAGCTGCCTCTTGTTTGTATTTGTAATCTTATCCAGAAAGTCACTTTATTCAGCCATAGTGGCATTTCTCCTCGCCTGCTTTACGTTTTATCACTCGGCAGGATATTTCATAGCTGCTGAGGTGAGGATAGGCCTATTTCTAGAATATTATATCAAACTTATGTGCTCACTGTTCATGCTTTGTATTTACTTTAAATTTCTCTGTGTTTTCTAATAGCTCACAATGAAGCAGCTACTTACTTCACTGTTAGATGGCACGTCCTGGTACACCGTTTCCCAGAATGCCTCTGTCCTGCCTGAACCTCAGAAAACATTCTGGCAGGCATGGAACCCACCTGGCAGAAGTTACTTCCAAACACTAGGATTTTTCATTGCTGCAAAGGTGAAATAAAATGGGTAATAAGTATAAAGTAGCAATTATTATTATTGTGCTCATAAACTGCTTGTTCAAGAATTTTAAAAAGTTCTCATAAGCTGATTTCATCATTTCTAACATCTCTCTGTAAGGTTGGGCTATTGGTCGTGGCTTGTACTTTGCCTTTACCTGCTGGCTATTTCATGCCAGTATTTGTTTACGGTAGGTAATTAGGTCATCACACCATGGGATTTACATCATACTATACGCAAACAAACAAATATATAATAGTTATTAAAATGCAAGAAAACTGTATAATTCAAATATGACAAAATATTGAAACAAATAAAATAAAAATAAACCATAGTCATTATTATCATTATTATAAAAAATAAATCTATAGTAAATAAAATGATACAATACTGAAACAAATAAATAATATTTGAATATTTGAAAAATAACAATTTTGAAAATAAAAATTAGAAAATGTATGTACAAAAATATAATAATAATAACATATAATAATTAAAATATTGAAACAAATTGAAATAAAATAATGTAACAAATAAATGAAACAAAATTAAATAAAATATTTTGTTCTGCTAAATATCTTCCGCCATCTACACTTAATTGTAGTTGGCATAATGTAGTTATAATAGTTTATAATGTATTAGTTTAAATCATAGTTTCTCGTTGTTTAAACCATGCTGTTTTCAGTGAATCTAGTGGGCCAAAAGATGTTTGAAAAAACCCCACTGAAACAGCATTTGTCTGTTTTAGGTGCTGCGGTGGGGCGTTTGGTAGGCGAGGGCTCGGCCTATTTGCTCTCAGATGGAATCTCATCAGCAAAGATTTTGATAAACCCGGGCGGCTACGCTTTAGCAGGTAAACAAACTTGTTATCCTGTCAACTTTCTAACGGGGTATTATCAACACTGCAGGCTCACAGAGACGATAAGGCCTGTCTAAATGTATTGATGGGGCCATATTTTGCTGTGTGTGTGTGTACAGGAGCAGCTGCCTTCTCTGGGGCTGTAACACACACACTCTCTCCTGCCCTATTGGCTCTGGAAATGACTGGCCAGTGCTCTCATGCCGTCCCCGCTCTGGTTGCTACGCTGGTATCCAATGCGGTGGCTCGTGCAAAGCACCGTCCATCTTTCTACGATGGCATATCTCTTATTAAACAGCTCCCGCACTTGCCATCTCTCATACGCGCTTGTCCAAAGTGAGTAAACACTCTGCTCATCTGCCTTCAGGCTCCACCGCTAAATTGCATTTTTCTTGCGTTTCTGTCTGCAAATCAAAATTCTGAGGGGAGACATCACAGCCAAGGCAGTGATGGCTGGATAGTAAATTGTTTTCATCATGAATGCTCTCCCACAGGCTGGCCAATGTTCAGATCAAGCAGTTTGTGATCCCAGCAGGAGTTGTGCTGGAGAGGACAGAGACACTGGCAAGTCTGCAGCACATCCTAAACGACAGTGCAGACGGCCAATTTCCTGTGGTGGACTCTCACGGTGAGTCTAACGAATATCACCAGCTCAACGACACAATCGCACCACTTTCACTTTAATAGCACCTTGGTGCTTGACAGAAGAGAGTGAAAGCCAATGAAATGTGTGCCGATAAGGGCCAAAGGCCAAATGATTACGCGCTGATGAGTAGAAATACTCAAGACTGCACTGTTGAAATAATGTTTCAGTACAGTACAATAATGGTACTATTGAATGAAATGAGACTGACAGTCTGAGGCTCTGGCTTTTTTCTCTTGTCTCCCAGACTCCCCTATTCTCCTAGGTACAATCAACAGATCACAGCTGTGGGAGCGTCTGCATCAGCATAGAAATGAGGTAATTGAACCCATAATGTGCCAAGTCATAACAAGAACTGTGCAAAGTTACTGAAAAAATAATAAAAATAATGAAAGAATAATTAAAGTATGTAAATTCAGAGGCTGGTTTCTCAGTTGGGGCTTATTCTTTTTTTTTTTAAGGATCACAGACAAGGAAAAAAAACAATTTTCAGTTCACACAAAGTGTTTTTGCATTCCACTGCGCAGCTTTTTAATCGGTTCTTCCTATGTAAACATACGCTTTGTATGTAAACATGACCATTGTGTAGAGTTACACTGATTTTTAGTGTCTTGCACATAAGTGCAATGTTTTTCCGATGACCCCATGCTTCACCTCAGTGTTTTTTTGCAAATATAAAGATAGACTTTCATTATATAGGCCAAAACACTTGAAACAATCTACAAAATATAGAACAAAGTACAAAATATTTTTCAGTTTTTTGGTGAACTTTTAAAACTTTTGAACGGTCCCACAGAAACATAGTAGATCTTCACATAACTGAAAGTAGTGAGACATGCCGCAATAGTCGAAAACAAATTTAAAGGGATAGTACACCCAAAAATGAAAATTCTGTCATCATTTACTCGTCCATCATTTACCTCATGTCTTTTCAAACCTGTGTGACTATCTTTCTTTTGTGGAAGAAGATCATTTGTTTCTTTTTTTTTCATACTAGGGAAGTCAATGGTAACCAAAACAGTTTGGTTACCAACATTCTTCCAATTATCTTCTTCTATGTTCCACAAAAGAAATGAAGTCATACATGTTTAAAATGACATGAGAGTGAGTATGTGATGACAGAATTTTCATTTTTGGGTGAACTATCAGTGGAACGCAAAAGTTCAATGTGAACAGACCCCAAAGCTCTAGTGTTTTCAATTTGTATGCAACGAGATCAAGGTTCAAATTTGAAACTATAATTCTTAAAATAATAAATCAAGCTAAATTGCAACTGAACTTGACAGTGTTTTACAGTAAAAAGCATTGTTAGTTATTGTTATTTAACTATTGGGACCTTATTGTACGGTGTTACCTTTTACGTACATTCAAAATCATCTCAGCTCAAAAATCTAAGGCACATAACATTTCTGCTTCCCATCATAATTAAATCTTTTTTTCTTGCAGGGTTTATGTAAACAGCTAGAAGAAGCATGTTCTATTCAACCTGTGCGGCTACATCTGACTCCTGAAAGCACTGTAAAGCAGGTGCAGTCAGAATAAACTGGTAGCTGCCAGCTGGTTTACTTCACATTATGCAAATGTTTTTTTTCCCGGTGTTCCTCTACATAATGTGTGTTTGTGTGTGTTCTGTCAGGCTCATTGCATCATGAGTGTCACGGGTGAGCAGCGTCTGTTTATAACGGAGAGTGGGCGGCTGTGTGGCGTCATCACATGGAAAGAGGTGATAAGAGCAGCCTGCACAAGGACAACATCCATACATGAACCAAATACTGCTGAATACACCGCTCACACTGACTATATGTACGCATAGCAAAAAGGATGTTTTTATGACACTGGATTTTTCTTCCAGATGAAGAAAATAATCGAAGAGATGGCAAAGGAAGTCTGATGCATGGACAATTAGCTCAGACATCAGATATCACACACCCAGGACAGGCATCGATTTGTGCTTACCATTTTGATAATCATTTCATCTGCTGGTGATTTTACTTAGATGATTATGTGGATAATTATTCATAGTGAAATAATTTTAAAAAATTATGAAATGAAGCAGCAACTTAGTTCCTCTAATGTAAAATATTTTATTTATTCTAATTTTTAGAACAAAAAATAGCAAAACCACCAACAGAACATTTTGCTGTAAACATCTGTTTATGACAAAATTGTACAGAAGGTTAATTTTATGATACACTGATCTACCTTAAAATGTACTTTTAACTATTTTTTTAAAATGCAGATTTATAGGACTAATGAAAATCTGAAAATAATTATGATTTTCAGTTTTCGTCATGGTGATTAAATCAATAGTTATTCCTTAACCATCAAATAAGTGAAAAGCAAACATCAAAGCAAACTTCTTTTATTATTTATTTTTCACAAATTGTGCTTCTCCACCAATTTTCAATATAGTGAAATATATATTCTTGAAAAGTTATACACTTTAGGATCATAAAAAAAAAACTAAGGGGAGAAATCCAGGGTCCTGTCGTACCCTACTGCTGTCATGCTGTATGGATGGATCCGATAAAATGGACCCTGTATAATACGATGTACATGTCTAGAGTTTGAAATGAGATATCTGTTTGTAACCTCATGCAGCTTGTTAGCTTTATGAGCCTCACACTGGGAGAAGAAAAGAACAGAAAAAAAACTTCAAGTAATAAATGACCTTCGTTTGATTTCTCAACCATCACAATTCTGCTCTTTTCTCTGTATTTCGCTCATTATTCCTTGTGCTTTTTTTTCACAGAAAAGGTTTTATAAGAATTCATTTAAATTCAGTGTATTGTTCCTTAATATATTGTGTTGAAATTGAATTCGTTACAAACACAATTTAAATTCTGCTCACCGCCCCAGAGCCTCTATCAACACAATTAAATCCTACTTCCAACCCTCCCCTGGAGCACCAAAGCAGTCACACACATTATCTGACACCGCACACGAGGATCACACTGTGTAAACTTCTATTAAAAGACCCTGGAGCATGATAACACTTGACCATTCCACCTCCCAACACCCTCCTCTCTCGCCTCTTCTGCTTCTGTATTTACCATAATCCCCTCCGCCACTGATTCCCCTCTTCTGCCTCATCCCTCACTATCTCTCTCTTTCCATCACCTTTCTTTGTCAATGGAGTGTGAATAGGACCAATTACAGAGAAAAGGCAGACGATTGTTATTCCAGCTCTCACGCTTTTGTCTCCGACACTCGCAAGAATTTGCTTGTTAGCAAGCGATTTCTGCAGCAATAGATCTTTTAAAGATTAAATAATTTATAATAATTTTCACATACAAAGGACTGCACAATATGGTTGATACAATAATTAACACAATATGGAGGCAAGTTACACAAAGGTATCTTAGGTAATACTTTTTTCAATTACTACATATGTGATTTATAAATCTGTGGCAATTGTGACCATACCCCCTATAAAAACCAAAGTTGAAGTGTGTATTTTTTTTTATTTTGAAGTGTGTAATATTACTAAAAGTTTATATTAATGCTAATAATATTAACATTAATATTAATAAATCAATGAATTGCTACAAGTAAGCCATTTATAGTTATAGATTTCATTTCATAATCCACATAATATGAATATAATTAATATTATTTAATATTAATAATAATTTACTCTTTTTTTTCAATAAGTAAGCCATATGTAGTTTGAGTTAATGTTAAGATAATATTAATAAAGCAATTAATTGCTGCAAGTATATATGTCTCGTAATCCATCTTCATAATATGAATTTATATTTATATATAAATTTATATATATTAAGAATATTTTTACTATAAGTAAGCCATTTGTAGATCAATTTCATCTGTGAGCATTCAAACCAGTGACACTGGCTTGACCAATGGCGTGAGTTTGGGGCGGGGCTTTCTTTTTTTTCCCAACCAATAGCAGATGGTGAGAGTGTTTAGAAAATGTATTTGAAAACAGTTAATATTTTGCAATTCTGTTTGGTGAGGCTATTAAAATGACACACTTCATCTTTGAGGATACATGTAGTCATTTGCTGTGTTAGACGTTTTATACTCAAAATCTCCATGGAAACATTTAGCAATATGAAAAAACGTTCATGAAAAAATCTCCACCAAAATAAGGTGAAATCTCCACCTCACTGTCCCAAGTAATGACTGCAGCTTTGCCCAAAGGCATAAGTCACTTTCACCCTCCAGAGTCCTCACAAAAGGATCCTATTCAACCCTGTAGCCCCATTGAGCTGTTCTTAGCGGAAATGCAGAAGGAAAAATGTCTGTGGAGATGAAAGCGCGTTATATTTTGGCTTTCTTCTTCAGTCTATAGTGCTAATAGGCCTCCACTTCTTTGTGAAAGGCTACTGCAAATATCTACAAACACTCAGTTAAAAGTGAAAGGGCATGATGGTCTTGATCACCCCTCTGTTAATGTATAATTTTAGATTCATGTGCATTCATGTGCGATGACCTACTTCTAGACGAAATTGGTCTGACCCTATTAACATAAAGTCCAATCTCCATCATCATTACCGCAAACAGAGATGCTTTAATTTGCAAAAAGGCAACGTGATATGGAAATAACATGTCCGTGTGTACAATGATCCCTGTGTTCATTGCTTGTCAAAGAGGCTCAGCTGTGGCTGTTACATACTTTAACAGTAAAGCGATAACCCCAGACGTAACCTCATCCGCATCTCTCCCACATCAGTGAACACAAAGAACAGACGAAAAACCTTTTCCCTTTTCGTTCCACTGTGCCATCAACATTTCAATTATAAAAAACCTCATCCTCCGACAGGGAGATGCTGTCTGCGTGTCGTACGGACCCTTCCAAAGGCGAGATCCTCTGCTCCTGCGGCGGACGCTGTGTGTCCAGCGGAGAATGAGAATGACTGGGGGAATGAGACTGAGGAGGATGAGAAGGCGCCAGGGAGCTGGTGTCATCAGCTTCCATGTGCATTCTGTACAGGTGCCGAGGAACACCCAGACTCCCTCCATCCAACAGGAACTGAGAAAGATAGGGGCCCTCGGGGTCTGTGAAGACATCATCATCATCATGAGAGCAGAAATTAAAAAGACCTCAAACACACACATCCTCTAGAATGAAAATTATAGCGTAAATGATTAAGCCCATTAAATCCAAACTCAATATCGCTCAATACTCAATATCTGATCTGCTCGATCCATGAGCCATCGTGTCCCAGACACATTCAGACATTTCTGTTTTGCAGTCCTTTATTCGTGTGCAAGGCTTAAAGACTCATCAGTACCGGGGAAAAATGTTTTGGGTATTTTTGCACCTGGCTAAACGTCTCTAGGTTACGTATGTAACCATGGTTCCCCGAGGGAACGAGACGCTGCGTCGAGTCGCTTTGGGAGCCATTTGTCATTATACTGTGCTTATTATTGCACAAGGGTTATCACCCCCTCATAATGAAATAACAGTATTTTTTAAATAAGCTGGGACAGCTTGACATGAACCAGACGGTCAGAATGACCTCCCTAAGTACTATGCTACTTTTATTCAATAGATGTATAAATAAAATATATATGGGATAATATAATTAATAATATATAGGAAAGTAAGTTGTGAGATCTTTCCCTGGCAAAAATGGTTCTTTATAGTGGAAAAAAGGTTCTTTATTTCTTTACGCTAAGAAATATGGTTCTTTTTACTGCTGACTAAAAGGTTCTTTGAGGAACCAAAAATGGTCACATCTCTTGGGAATTGCAACTTTGAGTTTGGGGCAATACCTTGTAATGGAATTGTACAGGATGTGGCTATATTTTCAGCATCGTGTGTGGACCAGGCATTCATCGCTGCCTCAGCCAGAGCAAACTGCTCCGCCACACCTGTGAGAGGAAAAAAAAGATAAATGGTCACAGATACACAGAGTGCCAGGAAAAAACAACAACTGTATAATTGCGTAAGAAATATGGACTTATATCTACTCTGTTTTTCTCACTCATGTCCTATGAATAAGCATTTAACATTTAAACGAATATTCATGGAAATTACCATGACCAAAGTGGTATTTCACACCTTTCCGTCTGTTCAACTAAACATTTTCTGAAAATTGACTCGCCCTCAGGCCATCCAAGATGTAGATGAGTTTGTTTCGTCATCAGAACAGATCTGTAGAAGTTTACCATTACATCACTTGCTCACCAGTGGATCCTCTGCAGTGCCGTCAGAATTAGTGTGCCAAATAGCTGATAAAACCTCACAATAATCCAAGTGATCAACATGACTTCAGTCCATCATTTAATGTCCTGTGAAGGGAAAAGCTGCATATTTAGAAACAAATCTATCATTAAGGCGTTTTAACTTTAAAGTGTCGCTTTTGGCCAAAATACCGATCCGTAATCCATAATAAAGCTTTCTCCATTGAAAAAGTCCATCCTCTGTTGTCCTCCCACATTAAAATTCACTGACTTATTTAGAACTGTTTTAGACTGTATTCACTAGTAACCAGTGCCTATTTCTCTCCTGATTAAGATGAGACAACTTTTTCATTGGAGAAAGCAATATTATGGATAGAGGACTCGTATTTTGGCTGGAAGCAACATCTTAAGGGTGAATTTTTTTATTCCAAAATGCAGCTTTTTCACTTCTCATGATGTTAATTGGTGGACTGGAGTCATACTTGTGGATTATTGTGATGTTTTTATCAGCTGTTTGAACTTTCATTCTGACGGCACCCATTCACTGCACAGGATCCTTTGGTGAGCAAGTGATGTAATGCTGAATTTCTCCAAATCTGTTCCCATGAAAAAACAAACTCATCTACATATCGGATGGCCTGAGGATGAGTACATTTTCAGCAAATTTGTACTTTTAGGTTAACTATTCATTTAAAAAACAGAAATCCTTCAGAGTATGAGACGAAATTTACACTTGTGAATAAAATATTAGCAGTTTTAACAGTAACAAAGTCACAAAAACAATGCCAAGCCTTGTTTTTAGCATGTTGCTGTGTGGTTCCTTTAGTTGGTTGTTTACTTGCACAAGTTTTAAAAAACCACCCCCATTGACA